GGTCATTTCAAGGTTTATACGTTTCCTGCTTGCTTTTTATATGGGTGATACTAAACAGTGAGGGTGGGACAGACTAAAACACCTCTCCAAAATCTTCAAGGCCTGGTCAGGGTCATCTGGTCAAGATCACATGTCACTTTGTCATAATGTCTAACTTTATCATTCTCAATTCAGTCACATGTACAGCAACCAAATACGACAAAAAATTTATTCTGGTAATAGTAACAACAACTTCATGTTTCAGTTTCAGTTCCCTGTACACCCATTATGAATTATGCATATTCATGCATATTACATACACAAATATGTTTCCTCTTACAATTAATAACTGCCATAGATTCTACTTCTCTTAACCACCTAGTAACTGCCACTGCCCTCTGCACTTGTCAATTACAGTGGAGCACTACTGGCTGCAAGGTCGCTTGTTTTGTATTCTTAAATATTTCTAGAAATGAACCCTAATTTTGGAGCAAACAGACAAAATTTGAGTAAATTTTCATTTTTTTTACTCAAAATATTTGGCTGTTTTGAATTTGTGATGAAAAGAGGGAACGTGGTGAAATGGTTAATCCAATCACATATCTGTTTATTCATACCACTAACTGTAATTTATTTCTTCAGTGCCAAGATAAATACGAGAGGGAATTCCTTCTTCGTGCCAGCGATGTTCAACAGTTGGTGACAGTTAAAGAACAAGTAAGATTGTTATTTATGAACTACATTTGTATACTTCTATTTGTTGTTCTTATCAAGTCATTTTCTTGTATTACTCAAGGGTTACTCCTTGTCTGATTTATGCCATTGGTGGTGTGTGTGGTCTTGTCTGCCACAGGCAACATTTTAACGCATGAGGGTTAACACATGTTTTCTAATATACTATATGTTTTTTATTTCATACATACATGTTTTATATAAAAACATTTTCTCTAGATAAAATTCAGCAAATTTGATAAATAGCCATGGAAATGCTGGCAAACACAAAAAAGCATGTCATCTCTTGAGCATAATGGTGTGAAGGAGTCATGCCAATGTTTCCTGTGGAACCTTCAGCGTGACAATTGAATGGAATTAGCAATGTAATCTTGTCGAAACGATCCCAATAAATCATAATGATGTATTTGTCTGTCTACTGTTTTTGAGTATCAAATGTTCAAACTTTTACCATACACTCACGTTAAGAATCCTTAAATATTCGTTTATGGCAGAAATTGATTCAGTACATTCAGTCTATGCATGGAGATTGTTAAAATCACTTCAGACGGACTAATTTCAATTTTATTGTGTCTTTCATTCTCTCCACAGCTTGCTGGTTTTAATACAAAGTTATCTGAAGCAGAAGACATTGCTAAAAGAGCTATAGATGAATTGTCTGAAAACAAGGTATAGATGCTTACTTATTGTCTTATCTATGACATAGATATTACCCAGAATGTATGGGTATGCAGCAACTTGCATATCTGTGCAACAAAGCTTTCCGTGAAAACCAGATTGCAATGAATGCCTGGAAAATGTTATTGTGGAAATGAGCTCAGTTATAAAATACTGCGGAATACTTTATTTTCGCTGGAATTAATTTTCACTGAAAAGGCTTTATAGGTGTTTTGTATGGAGTTTATTTTCACTGATTTTTGATGAGTTTAATGTAAAATATAGGAAAAAAAGTACATTCGCTGGATTTTATTTTCACGGAATCATCCCTTCAGCGAAAT